AATCGATCAATCGATCAATCGATCAATCGATCGCAGGGTTTCTCAACCTCAGCAACTTCAAGATGTGTGGACCACAACTCCCAAAATTCCCCAGCCAGCTGGCTGAGGTGGAGAAACCCTGGCCCAGAGAATCAGAACCGTTCGTGTAGAAGTGTCACCCCAGCCCCAAGTGAAATGGACCAAGACCGGGAGCCACCAGGCTTTGAACTAAGTAGCTCTGTGGCCCGAGACAAGAGAGGGAGCAAGAGATGCACGGCGCTCTGGATCGTAACGCAAAAGGGGGCTTCAGGCAACGGGCGCATGCAAGCAGCATCTTTCAACAGCTCCCTCGGCCAGGTGCCCCTTTCCCCGGGATTGCTCCGCCTGCGCTCTCTGGCTGAAGGGCTGTCCACGCATCCCCATAAGGCCTCCAAAACCTTTGATGCGAAGCACTGCCCAGCCCTAAGGCATCCAGCAAAGCAGAGAGCGAGCACTTATTGCGAAGGAAGGATAAAGAGAACCTTCTCCCGGGATGCCTCTTGCTGAAGCCGCTCCAGCCGCTGCCCGAGTTCCTCCTTCAGGCTCCTTACGGCACCGTCCAGGGCCTCCTTTTCTGCCTCCGAGACCAGGAGGGTCTTGCGCATCTTCTCTATTTCCAGCTCCTTTTGGGACAGCAGAGCCTGCAAAGCCAAGACCCTCAGTCCTGCCTCTGGATCCGAAATCCACCTGGCAAGCAACGTCAGGCCCTCTTGCCGTACGCTTCATTCACAGACGGATACCGATTCGGGAAAACCCTGGGTAACGACCAGCTGTAAGCCCCCTTGTTATCACCGGAAAGTCTCACCGGTTCCAAAGATGGTTGCAGACGGGAAATAGTTCAGTGGCTGGAATTCTTGCAACCCGTCCTTTCTGCTCAATAAAGCTTGCTAAAGAGACTCAATTCCCATTTAATCCAAGAGAATTTTCACATCTCTGTGCGGTCCTTCTCTAAACAATGCTTTATTAATGGAGCATGAAGTCTGTTTTTTTTTTTTTAGTACAGCTGGAATCACAGGCATTTGCAGCTAGCCACGAAGGTACAAAATTCCCAGCCCTGCATGTTCTAATAAACCTGGATATTATGTGAAGAAGACAGCCTTACAAAAATCTGAACGAGGGAAGTGCATTTATATACTTAAAAACACGCCCCTATAATTAAAAGGTGCCATGTTTTGATTATTGACACATACCCAAAGGTGCACTTAGTTGGAGTAGTTTTAATACTGCACTTAGGTACACTGTTAATTTATCAGCTGATATAAAAGATAAAAGGCATATCTTGCCCCCCAAATTATTATGGCCATATAACATTGACTCTGGATTCAGCAAGACCCCTAAACTGTGTTCTAGCCAGCAGGGAAGGTCACAAAAGGTGATCTCATGACTGCAGCTCCCTGTGACATCGTAATTGTGAGCTGGGCACCCAAGTGCCTGGATCACAATCATGTGACCGGGGTAGTGGTGCTGCGATGGACAGAACTTCAAGGATTGGTCGTATGTCCATTTTTTCAGCACTGCCGTAACTTTGAACAGTCAATGAACAAATGGACGTAAGCCGAGGACTGCCTGTAAATACTGTTTCAGAGGAAATCTTCAAAGAACATACGGTCTCTCAGAAACAAGAGTTTGAAAACTGACATTTATCAACAAGCAGCCAACTTTCCTCCCCAATACCGAAATTCATGGTTAGCATCTTGGATGGCTGCCAGTTTCCAAGAGGTCACCCAGACCTGGTGTCTGGACTATGAGGCTCTCCAAGGGGGTCTCCTTACCTCCTGGAGCTGCTTGGTCTTCTCACTGGCCATTTCCTCCATGGAGGACAGCTTAGCTCTAGAGCTCTTCAGCTGGAACTTCAGAGAAGACAGCTGGTCCTCTAAGCAGCGCACCTGGTTCTTCAGCTCTTCTCGCTCACTGACCAGTCGAGATACCTGATGGGGACAGAGGTAGATTTGGAGATGTGAAAGCTTGGCAAATAATTGGAAATGCTGAGTCTGGAGAGAACGTCCCCCCTTAACTAATAGTCTTTTCTTGTTTACAGAAAATTAGATGACAAAATTTATCCTAAATAAATCAAACCAGGGTGAATGACTGTGATTTGCTTATCGTTTGCTACAGAAATGGTGGGTTTTCCATCTCTGGAGGTTTCTTAGAACTGGACAGCCTCCTCTCCGGGTTGATGTAATTGGCTTTCCTGCATGCTGCCGAGGGTTGGACTAGATCAGAGTTTTTCAAACTTGGCAACTTTAACGTGGGTGGACTTCAGCTCCCAGAATTCCCCAACCAGCATGGGTGGACTTCAACTCCCAAAATTCCCTAGCCCACATGGGCAGACTTCAACTTCAACTTCCAAAATTCCCCAGCCACCATACCTCTTAAAGTTGCCAACTTTGAAAAACACTTGACTGGATGATTCTTGTGGTCTTTTCCACTCCACAATTCTACCATTCTCTGAATTTCAGTGGTGCAACTGGAAGTGGGAGAAAGCTCCAGTACCGCAAAAAAGTATTTGGGGGGACGGTAGCCCACCTCGGAATTAATTCCATTAATATCAGAGCCTGGTGAGTTTCCACAGGGAGAGAATTCCATCCAAATGTGGAACCTGCCCGAGTTGGTTTGGTAGGACAGCCCCATACCTGCCCCTCTGCTGCCTCAACACATACACACGATTTCACCTGTTTTTCTGCTGAAGCTGGCACAAAATCCTTGGCATTTTGTTGTATTTCCATTGTGTGATCCGAGGAAAAGGTTTCTAAGTGTTGGAAAAATGGGACTCGGAAGCCACCTGCAGCCGGTGGGTTGCCCCCTCCGAGTGCCTTTGATTACTGTATTTATTGGCCTATAACATGCACCTTTGTCCTTAAAACTGGAGCTGAAATCCTAGCTGCGTGTTATATGCTGATACTCAAGTGGCAGGGCTGGGAGAGTGAAGCCTTCATTTGAGCCAGGGTTGTAACTGGGGCAGCTCCGCAGAGCAGGAGGTGAGCGGTGGGGAGTGCCGGTTTCCTTCGTTCGAAGAGGTGCTTTTCTTTCGTATTACATATTTACCTTATAAGTGGTATAAATGTTAATAAACAAAAAGTTCAGAGCTCCCTTTACCTTGCTTCCAAATCATTTATTTTAAATTTAAGTTTTTTACTCAAACTTCCTTCTTAAAATTAAGGTGCATGTTATATGCCTGTGCGTGTTATATGGCGATAAATACAGGTAAATGGGGTGGCGGGTGGATTTCTCTGGTGGAAGGGGAAGGGAGAAATGCCATCCCGGTGGGAAGCGCATCACGCTTCACCTCCACTCGGAGAGCCCCGTACTGGCTGCCCTGCCGCCTGAGCACACTCAGTTCTTGTTCCAGTTCCCACACGTCCTTCAGGCACACCTCTCGCTTGTACTCCAGCAGCACCAAATCAGCCCTGCGGGAGGAAAGAAGAACGTCCCGAGTTGTGGGGCAATGGAGGCAGAGGGACAAAGAGGCTGAAGCACCCACAGCAGAGGCGGCTGGGTGACAGAAAGAAACATGTCGCATTTGGGGCATCTCCAGGCTGGGCATAGACCCTGGGCGTGTGTGCCTCGGGGCTCCACCCGCTAAGGGTGAACTCGCGCAGACCTTCATGGGCCGGAAGCCGGGTCTTGGGCCACCCCACGGGCTTGAAGACCTGTCCTCAAATCAATCCAGCCTGGTCCCCAATGTCATAGCTCATGGTGGGATTTTCTCTCTAAGGGCTTGGGACGGCTTCCTACTTCTCCACCACCGTTCTGAAATGTTGCTGGGCCTTCGTTTTGGCCAGGTTGCACGAATTGCCCCCCAAGTTTTGCTGGGGTGCTACAAAAATGCCTCCCACACCAGCACCTCTCTCTCTGTGGGGATGGCTCAGCAGAGTCCCTTTTCTGCTCTCCTGGATGACCTTAATCCTGACCAAATTCCCTGGCAGAGAAACACGGCTTCTGTCTGCTGTCTGTAGCCAGGATCCAGATATACCCTTCTGGGGAGCTCAAATTTGGGCTTCCATATGTACCATCTGTTTTCCCTTGTGACTGAAGAATTGTTTTGTATTTTACTTTATTTTAGTGTAGACTACATATACACACACTCACATATGTGTATGTGCATATATTGTGTGTCTGTGTGTGTGCATAAAAAATAATACTTGCATTTGACTTCTGGCCATATTGTTGGCTGTATGAAGCAGACCATACCGAGAAATAAACTCCTCAGAAGACTCAATTTTTATTTAGATTGGCTACAGCAGTGCTTCTCAACCTTGGCAACTTACGATGTGCAGACTTCAACTCCCAGAATTCCCCAGCCAGCATGGGAGAACTGAAGTCCATCCATCTTAAAAGTTGCCAAGTTTGAGAAACACTGAGCTACAGTAAGATAATCTGGCAAGTCTGATTGTGCTTCGCCTCTTCCCTCCTTTTAAACTTGTGAATTAGGGGGTTCGAGCCGCTTTTGCAAACTCCTTCATTCTTTGGACTTAAGCCATGTTTGGGCAACGCTCATTTATCTCCCTCAAGGTCATCCTCTTCACTCTCTACACTTATAGCGGTAAGGAACACGGACGGATTGATACCTGGCCTCGTCCATTTTATCCCGATGTTCTTCCGTGTGCAACTCCAGTCTCCTCACCAGCTCCTGGCGCTCCTGCAGGGCTTCCTGAAAAGTCTCCAGCTCCAGAGCCACATGCTGGGAGGAGAAGGAGAAGCAGGAGGAGGAGGAGGAGGAGGAGGAGGAGGAATTGTTGTTGTTGTTGTTCAGCTGCAGCCTGCAGTGCTCAGCCCTCCCCTCCCTTTGTGCCAGGAAGGGTTGGTGTCGAGGAACCCACCCCATGGTGCCAGCCAGGGCCCTTGGGCTACCTAACTTTATTGTTACTCTGACAGATCCCCCATCAGAAGCTCCTGCGGAGGGAGTTCAAAACGTGCACGGCGGCCTCACGCCCTCGGCTTCACATCACAATCAAAGATCGGCCGAAGGCGGCCCTCCTGACTTTCCGAACTGCCTCCGGCAGACCTGCATGGCTAGTTCAGCAGGCGCCAGCCCTCTGAAGTGGACCAGGTCAGGAAATAAACCCCACACGAGCTATGGGAACTCCGCTTTATTGTAACAGGGTATAACAACAGGATCTGGAAAGCAGGCCAGAATTTCTCTCTGCCAGGGAGAGTCGAGGCGAGGCAGTCCTCCTCCCTGTCCAGGCTCAATTCACGCTTTCTTAATGGCTGCTGCAAACCCACTTCAAGCCTATGTCTGAACTCCTCTGCAGCAGGTGACGTGAACCAGGCAAATTGGGTTAATCTGGCAAACCGTGGTCCTTTTAACCAGGGGCGAGCGTGCCAGCCAGCCCTAATGAGGCACGGCCAGGAGGAAACCCTGCAGCCCCTTCACCTGCCCTCCCCATCCAGCTCTCCCGGGGAGGCCCTGCTACCTTCTTCTGCTGGAGGATGCCGCGCAGGGAGGCCTCCGCTGCCTGGATCTGAGCCTTCTTTTGCAACAGCTTTTTGTCTTCCAGTCTCGAGTCCTGCGTAGCAGAATCACAACACCTGAGAGCATTCAAAGGGCTAATGTAAAGATGCGAAGGTGGGTCTAAGCAGGAAGGATAACGGAGGAAATTTCAGCAGCCCCATACGGCAGAGGGGTTGGCTGAGGGTCTCTGCCCCCCGACACAAGCTGGGATGAGTGAGATTCAGCATCTTGTGCCCAATTCCCATTGGCCTGAATGGATGCTGTCAAGAGGCATATTCCAAGTATGTGAGGCCGCTCTCTGTTTGGGGAGGAGAACCGAGAGCCTCAAGGGGAGAAATGGAGGTTTTTAGTAGTTGCAAAACTTAAGGCATCCATTTTGCCTCTTAAGCACCCCAGATACAAAACAGGTGCCCCAAATCTGGTCTTACTTAATGGAGATGTCCTCCAGGATCTCTCAAAGGGATATCTGGTGGACTGCAGGTGACCCCCCGAGCCACATTTTTTGCACCCAAATCTTGCTATGATGTGTAAACCAGGCTACCACATTAAGCTATAATGTAGTTTATTTGTTTGGGCATTTGGAGAAAAGGTTTTGTGTGAATATGGAGTTGGAAGGTTGGCTTCTGAGTGCAGGAAGAGCTATATATGATGTGAAAATAAATGGTACGCTTCCCAAATGGTTTAACTCTGAGCAAAGAGTAAGACACGGATGTATGACGTTCCCTTGGATGTTAAAGGTATTTATGTGCACAGAAGGGTGCTCATTGGGGATGCGAACATGTGGAAACTTTGGTATGTAGACAATGCTATATTGTTGACTTAGAACCTGATTTGCAGGAAATGTTAGATGACTTTATGATGCAATGAAGAATATGAGCCTGAACATTAAAGCATCAAATACCGATGTAGTTAGGACAGTGTTTCCCAACCTCAGCAACTTTAAGCTGTGCGAACTTCGACTCCCAGAATTTCCCAGCCAGAAACACTGCATTAGGAAAATGAAGTAATGATTGCATATGACGTTTAAATGGTAAAAAAATTAGCGCAAGCAATGAATTTGTGTACCTGGGTAGAACGTTTACTAAAAATGGGAACAAGGATGGAGAAATCTGAAAATGTGCAAATGCTGATAGAAAGGTACCTGGTAATATGCAACCTGTTGTGAGGAATGAATGTTTGCAAAGCATTTGCAAAACAGATTTATGAAGGGAGAGGGGAGGGGTTGAGAAGAAGGATGAGAAAATTGCGGCTGGGTGGAGCTGAGGTCCTCAAAAGGGGAGGACAAGAAATTTAAAGAACGAAGGGCAATGAAGGAAGCAGTTGTTGGAAAAGTATGGCATATGGATTTAGTTTTCTTCTTCTGATCTCATGCCTTTAATTCATT